GTTTGGGAATTAGAGCCATATTTCGGTTTAGGCAAACTAGTTCTTTTAAGAAACCTAAATTCGAGGTGTTGACACCCCAAAATCACCAAATGGGGTCGGATTGGCACGAAACTTGGCACACACGACCGCCTAGACACGAGAGACTTGTGGGAGAAGACGGGACTCCAATCGGTTCCCGGTTTGGGAGTTAGAGCCATATTTCGGTTTAGGCAAATTAGTTCCTTAAGAAACTTAAATTCGAGTGTTGACACTCCAAAATCACCAAATTGGGTCGGATTGGCACGAAACTTGGCACACACGACGCCTAGGCACGAGAGACTTGTGGGTGAAGACGGGACTCCAATCGGGTTCCCGGATTAGGAATTAGAGACGGATTTCACTTAGGCAAACTAATTCCTTAAGAAACTTGAATTCGAAGTGTTAACGTTCCAAAATCACCAAACGGGGTCGGATTGGCACGGAACTTGGCCACACACGACCGCCTAGGCACGAGAGACTTGTGGGAGAAGACGGGACTCTAATCGGTTTCCCGGTTTGGGAGTTAGAGCCGTATTTCGGTCTAGGTAAACTAGTTCCTTAAGAAACTTGAATTCGAGGTGTTGACGCTCCAAAATCACCAAAAGGGGTCGGTTTAGCACGAAACTTGGCACACATGATCGCCTAGGCACGAGAGAGTTGTGGGAGAAGATGAGACTCGAATCGGGTTTCTGGTTTGGGAGTTAGGGTCGGATTTCTATCTAGCCAAAATTATTTACTTAACTATCTTTGTAATTATATAATAAATAATTTTTTATGTTTTTTTTGTAATTAAAATATTAATACATAATTATATTGTCACTAATTATTTTTATTTTTTATTTTCAGATATTTCCTGAGTAGCAGTTTGCTTCTTGTGGAATGCAGCCGTGTGAAGATTGCGACGGACTTTTGTTTATGAAGAAAACTTTTATTTTTGATTTACATTATTTAGATTTGTGAACAACATTATGTATGTATTTTGCAAAATTATGTGGTTGGATAATTTTGATGATGTGTTGTTATGAATGGAAGAGTACTTTAATTAAGGATGAAATTTTATTTATATACAGGAATTTTTATATTATTATATAGTTATCGATTTTTTTTAGTTATTTTTATTTAATACAGGTAATTTGCATATTTTTAATAATTTTAAAACTGCATTTTTTGTTAGAAACAGGTTTTTGCGACGGTAGCATAGCCGTCGCTAATGATATTGGCAATATGAACAAAAGGCCTTTAGCGACGGTACTTTCACCGTCGCAAATAATATTTTTAGAGACGGCACCCTTTTCTGTCGCAAATAATAGTATTAATGACGGTATTAAACCCGTCGCAAATAACCAGTTTTAGCGACAGTATTTTTTACCGTCTCAAATAAACCCTTTTGCGACGGTATTTTCCCGTCGCAAATAACCATATTAGCGACGATATTTTAGTGCCGTCTCAAAAACTTCAGATTTTTACACATTAACTGCGACAGCATTTTGCCGTCGCTAAAAGGCATCTTTGCCGTCGCCAATGTTTTTGCGACGGCGTTTACCGTCGCTAAAGACCTTTAGCTACCCCTTCTTTTGCGACCCCCCTACTACCGTCGCTAAAGGCTATTTACCGTCGCAAAAAAGCATTTGAGACGGCTTCTTTGGTATTGGCGACGGTATTTTACCGTCGCAAAAAAGCGAATTTTTTGTAGTGTATGTTAGTTTAGGTGTGGATGGAATCTTGGTTTAGGGAAGCTCCAGACGAGGAAGCCGTGGTGGAATCCATCAAAGTCTTATGGGGTCTTTGGCTTCAAAGAAATAAAGCTGTCTTTGAAGGGGTGGTTAATACTCTGCATCAAGCTCTCCAACAAATCCATCAGCAAGTTTGGTGTCCCAATGATCCAGACTGGAAAAACCTTAGGGGCTGGATTCCTTCATCTCACAGTCCTTCTTTTTGTAACCCAGCTCATGCTTTTACTGCCATTAACAATTTGTCTTGGCTGCCTGATCCTCGTTTTGACAGGATTTTGATTGATGGGGCCTGGAGTCAGCACACCAAACAAGCGGGGGCTGCGTGGGTTGCTGTGGATAGTAGTGGTCATATTATTGCGTATAAGCAATACATTTTTGTGGCTCTATCTGCATTAATGACTGAAGTAACTGCATGTTTCCAAGCTTTGAAATGGTGTGTCCAACAGCATGTTACGACTATCTCTATCCTTATGGACTACCAAGTACTTATTTAGAAGCTTCGACAGAACGGTACGGAGGATTGGGAGACAATGCATATGTTATCTGATATTAGGGCTCTTTGTAACAAGTTTGATGAAGTATGTATTTCTAAGGCTTCTAGGAAGGCAGTGAAAGCAGCATATGTAGCTGTTAAGCTTGCCTTCCATAGAAGCTAACCACTACCAATTGTATTTTGTTTCTTATTCTATGTTATCTGATATCACGTCTCCTCAAAAAAAGAAAAATAAATAAAATAAACAAGAACATAACTAGAGCATCCAACGGCCTTAATACCAAGGGTCAAAACATAACCTCAAGGAACACGATAAAGGAACTTTAACTGCAGAGACAAAATCAAAACAAAAAAACAAAAATACAATGGAAAAGCTCGTCTCTGTGGGACATGGTAGAGATTAGGTGCGATGCAACCATCTTCAATAACATGTCCTCGCTTGCATTTCCCACAAACGTTGTTCTAAAGTGATTCTCAAACATTACAACTTATAAGACGCTCCTTCATCTGAATGCTATGACCATTGTAGATTGCTGCCTTATTGGAACCTAGATCATTAACTCCACTACTGTTTACACCGTCTTTTCTGTCAAGTGGCAGTGTGAAATCTTAGATACGATCATTTCTCATGTTTTGGGTGATCGGCCTTTTGAGTTTGATGAGGATTTAGCGGATGCAATAGGCTGATGTCGAGTACATATTGTCGAACATGGTCAAGGGGTTCGGCGAGCGATTGAGTTGTTCGATGCAGAGATCAAATGGGTAGCAGATCAAATGAGGAAGGCATCCAAGATGAACACCGTTGGGGTGTTTTTGGGTCGTGTCTCTGGGGGGCGGCGCAGTGTGGCGTGTTGGCTTCGTCTAGAGGAGGTGGGGGCGACTGTTCAGATTGTGGTTCATATGGGTGATCATCGTACTCAGATGTTCCTTCCACAATTATCGTTTGGGAATGGCTGGGAGGGCGTAGAGCTGGTTTTGGATGGTTTTACGGTGGGAAATGGATAGGTCATACAAGGTCAGGATTCAAGAGAGGGAAGACATAATTCCTGGCCAATTGGGAATGCGGTGGTTATCCCTGGGGTTGGGGGGGAGGATGCGGTGGTGAGATAAGGGTCTGGTGCCAAATGAGTGTCCTTTTTAGATTCGTGTCTGGTGAAGAGAGTGGGAGAATTGGGGGAGAAGGAGATAAAGCTATCTGCCCTCTCAATGTGGGTTAACCAATTGTGGAAGGTTAGTGGAGGCGTGCAGGTGAAGGTCGTCGGAGGACAATACGTGTTGTTTGTTTTTCCATCTAAGTCAGAAGCCATCAGAATTCTGTGAGGTAATTGGGTGGTCGATGGTTGATGTTTGAGTCTTAATTGGTGGTCGCCGGAGGTGTTATGTGCCAGGGGAAGTCATCAATCGCTGAGTCAGAGTTTTTGGGTGCAGGTGCTTGGACTTCCGCTTCATCTTCGTGGCGAGCAGGTGTATCACGGGATTGGTGATCGTTATGGGGGGTTCCTGGAGGTTGATGCAACAACAGTGATGGAGGGACCTCTAGGATGTGTTTGACTCAAAGTTCGTGGTACAGCTAGGGGTACTCCGGCGCGAATCACCATTCGTTGGGATGATTGGAGATACTCACTGCCTATTTAGTCAGAGGACGGACCGGAGGTGGAGACTCACGGTCTGCCGGAGCAGCGTGATTGTCGTGAGTTAGTTACGAAACGTCGGGATTTGGTGCGATCTGTTCTGCGTGATGGTCGTCGTGATTTGGGGAAGGAGAAGATGCAGTTGTAGTCGCTGATTTCACAGTGTTGGGTCAGACCTAAGAAGGCCTGGCGAAAGAAAAAATCTGAACAATGGGCCACATACTCAAAGGCCCAAGTTTGGGCTTACCCTAAGTTGGGCCGGGGTAAGGAAAAAATTAACAAAATTAGTGGTCCATCTTTTCAAAGGCCTAAGGCAAGGGATATCAACCTGTTGCAAGGTGATATTGGGGTGGGCCAATCTGCGGATAGGTCCTAGGGGTTAGGGTTGAAGGAGTTGGCCCATTTTGTGAAAGGAGTTGTAGGCCATTCTAGGTTCACTACTCCAGTGGCCCCGGTCTTTGATAATTTGCGTCGTGATTTGGATCCAAGTCAAACGAGTCGGTCTTCGACTTTAGGACCTTTAGCGAATGGGAAGAACGTTACACTGTTGACGTCTGTCACTGATCGCGACGAGGAGCTGGGTGGATTGCGTGATGTATCGAAGGACGATAAAGGGTCCAGTCAGTCTTTTAATACAAATAAGGATTTGAGGTAGCACTGGGTAACTGATGATGCAGTGAATGCTGCGACCGATTGGGTTAGAAGGAACGAATCTAATCCTGGGCATTTAGGGAGGGAGTTGTCTCTTATGGTCCATCCTCTTGCCATTTCAACTGCTGCCAGCCATGGTGAAGCCTCTTCCGAGCTGCCCTAAGGTAAGGTTGAGTGTCAGGTTGATTTGAATGGGATGGAGGCTCCCTCGGCAGACACTGTTTCGAAGTGGGTGCTTAGTAGGATTAGCGAGGTTAGTCATTTGCTTGGTGTATCTTTTGAAGGCCATAAGACTGAGGCTATGAGTTTATTCAGAGCAATAGAAATCTCATAGAGGTAAGGGGCTCCATCACAGGAGGGTGGTTCTTTAGAAGTGGTGCAACGTAAAGGGTTACGGGAGTTCAGAAATTTGGAGTGTTCTGTTAACTATGACCATGGAGGGGAGATGAGTGGGCGGGGCCCCAAGAGAGAGCGATGAGGTCCTCTGTTATTGAAATGAAGTTAAAAGTGTTATCATGGAATGTGCGTGGCTTGTATGAGAAGGATAAACGCCTAGCAGTTAGGTCCCTGCTTCGCAACGTGAGAGCGGATGTAATATGTTTGCAGGAAACGAAAATGGAGGTGTTGGGTGGAGATGTGGTAAGAGAGATCTGGGGTGGTCGGTTTGTGGAATGGTCATATTTACCAACTGTGGGTACGGCAGGAGGGGTTCTTCTATGTTGGGATAATAGTGTGGTGGTGAAGAAGGATGAGGAAGTAGGAGGTTTTTCGGTGTCATGCCTTTTTCAATGTGTGGTAGATAATTTCAGGTGGGTGTTTTCTAGGGTGTATGGTCGGTGCGAAATTCAGAGAGGGGCTCTTTTTTGGGAGAGTTGGGGGATGTTGCACATCAATGGTGTGAGCCGTGGTGTGTGGGGGGTGATTTGAATATGGTTCGATGGTCGGTTGAGAAGATGGGGAACACTAGGGTGAATAGGTCCATGTGGGCATTCTCTGCATTTACTGATGAGTTGAATTTGGTTGATTTGCCTCTTCAGGGGGGGAATTTCACTTGGTCTAATGGCCACCATATGTCCCGAATTGATAGATTTCTGGTCACTAGTGGTTGGGAGGAGCACTTTTCAGAGGTCGTTCAAAGTTGCTTACCACGTCCAGTCTCAGATCATTGGCCTATTTTGCTTGACAGTGGCGGGGTTCGTAGTGGGCCGACGCCTTTTTGGTTCAAGAATATGTGGTTGCACTCGGAGGGCTTTTTAGAGAGGGTCCGTCGATGGTGGAGTACGTATATAGTTAGTGGCACTCCTAGTTGCATGTTGGCTCAGAAACTAAAACTTCTCAAAACATATTTGAAACTGTGGAATAAGGAGACTTTTAGCCAGGTGGAAGTTCTAAAAGCGGAAGTGGTGGACATTCTGCAGTCCTTAGATGCGCAGGAAGTTTCTAGTGGGCTTTTAGGTGTGGATGTGGCTAAAAAGGAGGCGGCCAAGTAGGATTATGTTCATTTGGCTCATATGGAAGAGATTTGTTTCCGACAAAAATCTCCTTGTTTATGGTTGAAAGATGGGGACCGAAATACCAAGTTTTTCCATAGGATGGCAAATGCTCATAGAAGGGTTAATCAGATTGTGTGTTTGCGGGTAGATGGGAGAGATTTGTCTACAGATGACACGATTCGGAAAGGTATTGTGGGCTTTTATCAGTGGCTTTTTTGGGAACAAGATGGGGCATGGAGGCCGGGGCTGGATGAGATGTTATTTGATACTCTTCTTGAAGGAGATAGGGAGGGTTTGGAGTGGGCCTCACGGAGGAGGAGATGTGTGGCGCTTTGAAGATGATGAGTGGTGACAAGGCTTCGGGTCCAAATGGTTTCACTTTGGCTTTCTTCCAGCATTGTTGGGGGGTGGTTAAGGAGGATGTAATGGCAGTGTTTGAGGCCTTTTTCACCATAGGGAAGTTCGAGAGGGACTTTAATGCGACCTTCCTAGCTTTGATTCCGAAGAAAGGGGGGGCTGACAATGTGAGAGATTTTAGGCCTATTAGTTTGTTGGGGAGTGTATATAAGCTGGTGGCAAAAGTGTTGACAAACAGACTTCGGGGTGTGTTGCAAAACGTGGTGTCTGAATCCCAGAATGCTTTTGTAGGAGGGTGGCAGATTTGGATGCGGTTTTGGTCGCTAATGAGTGTGTTGATTTTCAACTCTGGGAAGGGCGACCTGGTCTAGTCTGTAAGTTGGACATTGAGAATGCTTATGATAATGTTAATTGGGATTTCCTATTTTATCTTATGTGTCGGATGGGTTTTGGGGCCACATGGTGTCGGTGGATAAAGTTCTGTGTATCCACGGTGCGGATGTCGGTTTTGGTGAATGGCTCACCTGCTGGTTTCTTTCCGACTTTTCGGGGTCTTCCGTAGGGGGATCCTTTATCTCCCTTGTTGTTTATCCTAGTTATGGAGGCTTTGAGTCGTCTGTTGTCTAAGGCCGTGCTTAAAGGTTTGGTGAAGGGTTTTAGTGTGGAGTCTCCGACTGGGACAGCAATTGGGGTGTCTCATTTGTTGTATGCTAATGATACTTTGGTTTTTTGTGATGCGAATGCGGAACAAGTAGGGTTCCTTCATTGTGTTCTACTTTGTTTTAAGGCAGTTTCAGGCTTGCGGATTAATTTAAGCAAGTCAAGGTTGATCCCGGTGGGGGAAGTTGAGCGTTTGCCTGTGGTAGCAGTGATTTTAGGCTGTAAGGTAGCAACTTTACCAATGACTTACTTGGGATTGCTGTTGGGTGCTACCTTCAAGGCGACAGGGGTTTGGGATAGAGTGGTGGAACGGGTTCAACGTTGTTTGGCTGGATGGAAACAACAATACTTATCGAAAGGGGGAATGTTAACATTGATTAAGAGTGTGTTGAGCAGTATTCCGACCTACTTTATGTCTTTGCATGTTATTCTTGCATCTGTGGTTGCTCGTCTACAGAAACTTCAGAGGGACTTTCTGTGGGGAGATGGAGGAGAAGATTTTAAATATCACTTGGTTGATTGGAGACGGATTTGCCAACCTAAGGAGGTGGGCGGTTTGGGGGTGCGAAGTGTGGTGCAGTTTAATCGAGCGTTGTTAGGGAAGTGGTTGTGGCGGTTTGTTAGAGAACGGGATCGCTTATGGCGTCGGGTGGTGGCTTCTAAGTTTGGGGTGGTTGCAGGGGATTGAAGGTCAGAGAAGGTGATGGGGTCTCATGGGAGGGGCTTGTGGAAAGGTTTTTGCTTGGGAAAAGGGGAGTTTCTTGAGAGGGTACATTTTTCTGAAGGGACTGGGGAGACGGTTCGATTCTGGAAAGATAGGTAGTGTGGGGAGATGGTATTAGAAGTGTGCTTCCCTTTGATCTTTGGCATTGCAAAGGACTACGAGGCAACGGTAGCGTCTTATTTGGGGGGTGGAGCGGTGGTCGTTTGGGATATTCAGCTTCGGCATGAAGTTCAGGATTGGGAAATGGATCAATTGAGGGAGTTGTTCAGTTTCCTATATGGGTTGGGTCTATCGGGTAGGAGGGAAAATGTGTTGGTTTGGAGTGTGGTGGGAACTAAAGGTCTGTTCTTGGTTCGGTCCTTTTATCGGAGTTCGGTGGGGGTAGTGGGTGGTGCATTTCCTTGGAGGAGTATTTGGGTGCCTCGTGTGCCTTCTAAGGTGGTTTTCTTTTTATGGACGGCTGCTTTAGGTCGTAATCTTACCATTGATAATCTGGTTTGTTGAAGGCACGTGTTAGTCAACCGTTGTTGCATGTGTTGTGCTGCTGCGAAGTCAGTTGACTATTTATTCCTCCATTGTTCTATTACCTCCCGACTTTGGGGTTGGCTTGTTCTCTTTTTGAAATTTCGTGGGTGCAGCCAAAGGGGGTGGTGGATATGTTGTGGAGTTGGAGGGGGGCTCAGGTTGGCCAGAGTCAGCAACGAGTGTGGGCTTTGGTGCCTTTTTGTTTGATGTGGTTGGTTTGGCTGGAAAGAAACAGGAGATTTTTCCAGGACAACCAGCAATCGGTGGCTTGGTTGGAGGGTCGGTTCTTAGTTACCTTGTATAGTTGATTGGAGTGTAAAGTTAAGCTGGATCTTTTTTCTTTCTTAGATTTTTTGGATGATATAAGTGATCGTCTTGCATCAGCTTGATGCTTTGCAATAAAACTCATTATTTATCACCAAAAAAATCAAATTGTCCTGCGGGATTTCACCTTGACTCACATTGTCTTCTCTGTCACGTGGCAGTGAAATATTGAATATGATCATTTTCTCACATCCAAAATCAAATTGTCCTTTGGGATTTCTACTTGACTAACCTCTTGGATGGAGCACATACTTCTAAAGATAAGGTAGAGACTGGAACACCACGGCACAAATGGTCGTCCTTCATATCACAAACATTATTGCTCATTGCCTGAAATTCTGGAGCAATTTGGTTAACTTTACAAAGGCCATCCCATATCTATGAAAGAACTGAAAAAATTGTCGTCCTTTTATACAAGTAGATATATTTCAATTGACCAGAAAGGATGTCCTAAACTTTGCAATGTGCTCATCCATTTATACCTAAAATTAGATTGGAGCATGTTTTGCATTGTCGCTAGACATCTTCAATCTTCAGAACTTGAGCACTCGTAACTATATACCCAAACCTAGACACCTTGCACACATTTTGCCCATAAGAATTGCCAACCCACTAAATCCTAAATCCTATGACAAACAGAATATGTGTGATTCGTGTGAACAACAAATTAAATTCTAGGGGAAACAAAATAAAATTTTCATGAGATTTCACAAAACAACACCAAAAACCAGCAACCAAAAATACCATGATAAAAACAGGAGAGCAGACACAGAATTAAATTAACAAAGCCTCTTGTGTGCAACTCTCTAGCAGCAAACTCAAAACAAACAATTCAGTCATTGAATTCTCATAAAAAAATAATTGTCTACAAGAGAATCAAATGACCAGGTATGCTATATTTTGCATGTGATACAGACAATCCTGATTTAAGGGAGGGGATACAGTTCTCCCATTGAAGCAACGAGAGAAGACACAATATTAAATTAAACAAAGGCGCCGGTGTGGTACACTACCAGCAAACTCCAAGCACAATTTAGGCATCAAATTCTCAGAAAATAACGGGGTTAAAGCATATTCTACAAGAGAATAAAAAAGATCAGCCATGTTTCACTCATGATACGATCAATTCTTATGTACAGGGCATAAGGGGAAAAAATGGAGAGAGAAGAAAACCAACTATTCACACAGCAATCAAAGGAAGAAATGCAAGTCTCCCAGACCCCGGAAGCTTCGTAGCACTGTACCCACATACCACAGCACACAATTGCCTTCCAAAAGAACTTCCATAAATGGCAACACCTGCCATGTAATTGAAAAAAATTTAATAGCTTGAAAATCAAGATGTCATACAGCACCAGTGATGATCTTAATCAAAAAGTTAGGATGCAGGCTATAGTATAGAAATAAACCTAAATATATATTTTGTGGGTGGGAACTGAGAACATAGTCACCAGGAAACTTCATTTGACAACAGACAACACGGTTCTCATACAGGTATGATGCTTCTTAAAATTTTGGGAAAATGTTCTGGTCCACCGGATACTTCATTTTCTTTTTGGAAAATGTTGAAGGAAACTCCAAATAAACTAAATGGAAATTGGAAAGAAAATCTACATAAACCACTTGGAAACATAAATGGAATTTTCACAAATATTTTTTAGCAAATTGTAGCAAATATAAAAAATGCCTTCGCAACATTTTAAAAAACATCCTAGGAGAATGATTTAAGATATTTCAATAAACAACACGAGGAAGTTCTTGAAAACTATTTGCAAATTTTAAAAACCCTTCAGAAATCATATCATAGAAATGCGAGTTAAAAAATTGATATACTATATAACTCAAAATTGGAAATTATATGTTTATTCAATAGTAATATTTTTAGTAAAACTTGATTTAACTCATCATTTTAGCATATTAGCATTCGAGAAAGGTTATACCACTAAGATGTTTTTCAAGTCTATGGTTCTGGACTGAACAAAGGAGCTCAGGGTCATTATTATAAGAATTGAAGAATTTACGACCAAGGATGATATAGCTTTGACAGGAAGAGAGAGCACCAAACCTGTATGCCAGTCATTCACAAGCAATCTTGGTGTCGAAGCTACTGAGGCAGATTGCAAATGCTTGGAATGCTGAGATTGGATACTGATAATCCATGGTGAACACATCCTTTCCCACCTTCCCAAACTGTAGAATGACATTTTCCTGCTCTTGCCCAGCAGCTCCATCCTCCACAGAGGCAACCAGCTGAAAATTCTTCACTGATGCAACTGTCACCCGCCCATTGAAGTTCAAACACCAGCACTGGAGTTGTTCATGCCATCTAGGAGCCTTATTCTTCAAGACTAGCATCCCATCTTTCTGGGTGGACAAAGGTCCAGATTGGAAATTCTCCATGCGAGTTGATTTTGATCTAAAAAACGGAAGCGATGGAAAGGAATCCATATGGCTAAGCAGGAATTCAGTTTGTGTGGGGGCCACTCCCTCTGGCTCAATAGCTGAAGCAGGGATGGCATCCATGACACAGTTCATCCTCCTTGGTCCCCTGTTTTCCGCAATATGTCAATTTTTATTAGTAAGCATATGAACATAACAGTGAGTGACACTCATTGTTAGAGGGTATAAAATTACTATTGGAATTTAACAATGACAACCCCTCACTAGCTCTTAATCACAGAGCATTTAATTTCTTCACAACAACAATGAGTCCTAACAAACATGTCTTTTCCTTAAAAGAAGAGGTTAGTGTTTCGAGAATTTATTACCTGGAACCCAAGACATTCAACTCATATGAAATGTGGGCTACATGATAGTTCCCAGCAGGGAATTTGGGGGAGACTTGTTTCATTCCAACAAGTCTGGTTGAACGACATTTAGCAACTTTGGCTCCAGCACTGGGAGGCTGTGCATCATAGATTGTGAACTTAGTCCCCAGAAAGTTTGATCTGTCAGAAAGGAAAATGTGATTGACAGTTTAGGCTACAATACAATTAAGAAGCACCGATGCCATATACTAGATCTTACCTCAGCTTCCCAATGTAGGTGCTGCTCCCCTTTGATACGTCATCAGGATTTAAAGAGATGATGTAGTCTGTGCATGTCGGACGCCGACACTTGCGTGCAGCTAGAAGGAACTTCCCATCATCACTTGAAGCTGTCCATAAATCAGACAAAAACAAGGAAAGACAAAAATTAGAACCCGCGGCTTAAAAACAGAACAAGCCCTATCTTTTTTCCAAAACATTCAGCTTGAAAATTATGAATGAAGAAACCTCAGCCTCTAATATATCCTAACCTCACTAATAAATTAGTTCCAACAAACAAAATTATTGCAGGTATCAACAATAAAAGAAAAAACAAAGTACACAAACACCAGTAAGAGAAACGCAAGAATTAAGAGACTGAAACAAATATTGAGTTAGTCACCTTGATTTACACTGAGGTAAAGGTGATATGTCTGGGTGCTACGATTGCGTTTTATATAACACTGAACAAGAGAGTCCCTTGGACCGGGCTGCAGAAAGAGGGTATAAACATAAGGAATTTTAGTATAAGCTAGAATATAAAATTAGCAAATGGTTTGATGACTAGAATCCCAAAAAAGGAATTATGAATTATCCAACAACTTTAGTAAACAAAGTTTTCTTAGAGAGACAGATCTTAATTAAGCTTCAATTCAAACATCTCCAAATTTAATGCACATCATGCAGCTCTCAACAAAATAAAAAATGAGGAATCAAAGTAAACAATCCACACTAGAAATAAGATGGTCCTGGAAAAACTAATTATCATTCAAAATGTAGAAGCAAGTAAACCCAATCTCTTCCATTCCACTGAAACGAAAGGTGATTCCCAGCCCAGTCCTACTTCTAGCTAAGAAGACGAGGTATGCATATTTTCCCAGATTTGGAATCACACAAGCCTCATTACAAATTGACAAAGTCAAGTTACCTACCAGCAGCAAGTCAGACATGAACCAAACTAATTCTCCTATCCAAGTTCCAACAACAAACAATTCATTTAAAAGTGATTACTAAATTCAAATCCCCTATTACAACTAGTACTACCAGGAAAATTTAGTTCCTGAATGATGACAGGACTTTCTTAAATAAGTAGAAGACATGACAAGAAAAAAGGGCATCGATAAATGGACAGAACAAACATTAAAGCTAAATTATGGAAAACACACTAAACACCATATGAAACCAAACAATATATGAGCATAAGACAGAAACAGTGACTCAATTGGCATATATATAATAGAGATTCCTTAGGTTCATATAATTGACCTGCTTCAAGGATATTGGGAATGTCAATTTCCCCGAAACTTGCAAGGTTTTCACAATTTCCTTCATGATTTGTCTCCAACTCCTACAAACACCAGCACAAGCAACCACATTCTTCCTAGGAGGCCAAGTAAACTCCGAAGCCTCGATCCTCATCAAGACATCCCTTAAAAGCTCGGGAGGCATATTTGCCCAACGACTCTGCTTCAAAGCATCAACCACCACCACCGAACTATCCTGAACCACCCGGAGCGACCTCGACTTCAACCCATACCCAAATTTCACATCAAACCCTTTTCTAGAAATGCTTCCCAATTCACCCTTCACGTCCTGAATTATACTCTTAAAGGACATCTTAATACTTTCTTTTTCAGTCTTTACATCAAACAGTTTATCTACAACAATCCAAACCTTCCAACCCACATTCAAATACACTTCAATTTACATGTTTATCCATAAACAGAAGCTAATAACCATTGATGAAGAAGCTTTGAAATCCAAAGGTGCAAGCTTTGATGGAAAGTGGAACATAATCAGATCAAGTTACACTCAAAACAATGTGAAAAGCAACAAAAAGCCTTTTTCACCAACAAGCCACATATCTACCAATCAAAGATCACAAGCTCGTCGTCCAAAAGAGTAGAACAAATTCGAAGAAGATCCGAAGACAATCCAACAAGCATCGTCAAGTTCTACAGATCTATATCCCTTCGAACCATTGCCAAAATTGTAGATCAAAAGTTCTCACGCCGAAAGAAAAGGGGAAAAAAAATGGGGAACATGAAAATTTTGGAGATTAGGGTTTGAAACCCATTTTCGATCAGAGGTCGGTTGTGACAAGTGAGAAGTGTGAGTAGAAGAAGGAAAGTGAGTGATGCGGGGGTTAGGGTTTGGTGTGAGTAGAAGAAGGAAAGTGAGTGATGCGGGGGTTAGGGTTTGGTGTGTTAAGGGATCTGTGTTTTAGTAATCTTATCCGCTTTGGAAACAGCATAAACTGTCAATTCCGCCGGGTCGGAATCCGGGTTTGATCCAGTTAGATGGCAAAATTCCCGACCCGATTATACTTATTCCAATCTAATTTTAACATAAATGATTTGAGACATTGTTTGGGAAGGGTTAAAGTGACTATTTTAGTTACAAAAAATAAAAAATTACATTCAATTCATAATCATTACACTCTTCTCTCACAAAAAAAATTAAAAAAACCAAAAAATCAAAAAGTCTTTCTCAAACCAAACTTTTTAGCCCAAGTTAAGATAGTCAAAAAAATCAAAAAGCCAACCCACTTTTCAAACCAAGCCTGCCTGAGAATATTGATTGGATAGAGTCAAGTTTAATGATAGATAATGGCAATAGATATTCTATCCAATAAAAATCCATGAAAACCAAATCCGAAATATATGGAATTTTTTCATTTCCTTACTCGTTGAGCCGGATACATTGTATAATTTAAATATCCATCTAGAATGGGTTGGGAATATATACCTGCCCATTTCCCCATATGTGTTTGACTACCCTGTTTTACAATTAGGATTCTCATTTCACTCTCTCGCTCTCCCTCTCTTCTAGATCATTCTAAATCTTATTTTTCTGTCTCTCGATCTCAACCCTTTCAATCGCAGTCGATTTGCCCCCTCTTTCACCCAAACTCATCTCTCTCTCTCCCCTCCTCTCTCTCTCTCTCTCTCTCTCTCTCGCGCACGCACATTTGGGTTACAAACATAGGTTTCAAATATGATAGTACTCTATGATCATGGGATCGATGAGAGAAAGGGGAAAAACTCTTTAGATATTGAATTATGATCATGTGAACAATCTAATGATGAAGATGAAGAGCTTCAAACATGTTTACAGATCACAAAATCAGATGAACTTGTTCTATTTGGGTCTATTTCACAAATTAATTTTATGATGTTTCTTTTTCTTAAATTTTATGTTTATTTTCAATAATTTATTGTTGAAATTTATATATTGTTCAAATTGTGTTTCATATATGTTTGTTGTTTGTTGTTGGGAACTTTGAGTTGAAATTTGTATATTGTTCAAATTGTTAATTGTTTCTTGTGATTGTAAAAAATTGAGTGGAAATAATCTATTTATATCGGCAACAATAACAACTACTACTACTACTACCTAACTAAAAAGAAAAAGGAAAAGGAAAAAAGAGAGTCAAATTGAGTTGGAAAAAACCCAAACACATGAGGAGATGGGGAGGGTAGTCCCCATAGGAGATGGAGGATCGGAAATGGAAAAAAAATTATAATAAGGGAATAAGAATGAGGAATTAATATCATCTCATTGTTCTCCATTGTTATTCCTAGTATGTAAGTCAAAATTGTTAAATTTATAAGGAAGTATGAAATTATTTTATTAAAATAATGGGCGAATTACACTAATATTTCCTATAGTTTAGGACTCATGTCACTTTAATTCGTAACTTTTCAATTGTAACACATTTGATTTTGAATTTTGAATTTTACTCTAAATAAAGACAATTGAAGATACCATTACTCAATTTCAAGGGCAAAGTCGTTAACTTGATAAAATATAAATTACTTTGACAAAAATAAATGTCAAAAAAATATTTTTTTAATTTTTAAAAATTATTTCTATCCACCAAAGATAAAATTATATAAAATTAATTTTTTTACACATTTATTTATTTACCAAATTCATTTTTATTATATGTTTGGATGATAATAATATAATAGTTGGTTGTTCTTATTTTTTTTTAATTAGTTTCTATTTTTTCATAAGTTAAATATGGTGACAACTTTGATATTATTATTAAATCAACCCATTAAATTAAAAAATCCAAAACTAAAAAATATTTTATGTATTAAATATATCGATTACACATTAAAAGTCTATCAACCACTCATTACATGATCATCATCCAAACACATAATAAAAATTAATTTAGAAAAATAAATAAAAACGTATAAAAGATTTATCAATTTTATATAGTTTTATATTTGGTGAGTAGAAATAATTTTTACAAATTTAAAAATATTTTTTTGACATTTATTTTTATCAAAATAGTTTATATTTTATCAAATTGATGACTTTATCCTTAAAATTGAGAGATAACCTCAATTATCCTTATTTAGAATAAGATTCAAAATTTAGAATCAAATGTGTAACAATTAAAAAATCAAAAACTAAAATGACACTCTCAAACTATACGTTCAAATTCGTCCTAAAATAATTGAGTTTAAAATTAAAAATTCACGCACAAAATTCAAAAATCCAACTCGTTGCCATCCAGCCAAAAGTGCAGTTTTTTAAATTTTTTGATAATAGTTTTAAATTTTATTCTTTTAAAGTTGTAAAAATTAAATTAAATTATCACTATTTACTTATTTATTTATTTGTTTACCTATTTATCTGCCATAATTGTCGTCAAACTTTTAGGATCGATGACAAATATAGCGAAATTACAAATAAACAGAGTACAATGATAAAATTGTCATAAATGTATTCAACAATGATTCATCTCCCCTTTTCCATCACCCCCTTTGACCCCCTCTCTTTCTCATTGGTTACATTTTTTTTTCTTTTTCTTTTTTTTCCTGCTACTCCAATCACCACCCGCCATGTGGCAAAGGGGGTGAGGGGTGACCCCCAAAAGGGGGTCCCAAGCATTATTCAAATGTATTTTTCACTCAATAATTACAAAAAAAAAAAATTGTTCTTTTGAGCTCAAAAGCTTTGATATTTTCCTTCTTTAGATTTATCACCACTTTTTTTAACACTAAATAAATAAAAAGTCTCATTTATAGTTCAAAAAAAAAAGTAATTGGCAAATTTGAATTTGAATTGATTAATTTATAAACAAATCAATAACTGACTTACATCAATTCATACTGTACAAGCACAGAATAATCTTTTCATATAATCCTATCGATCAAATTTGCACTCTTCCAAACGTCGTCGCTTTGTTACTTAAAAACACAATCGTGAGCTAGCTGGTGGGTGTGTGTCAGAAATCCCTCCGATGTCTAAGTCAGCAATTAGACAATAGACAATAAGCTCTGTGTATTTGAAAGTAAGAATTGTAATATCTGTCCATAGGTTCTCTCATGAGCTTTTGTAAATTTCACGTGGCACAGCTCTAGCAAGACTCTAACTTTCTTTAGCAGAGTCTTCCCAGGAGTCTCATACCTAAGGATAATGCTTATCCTTAGAACACCTTCCTCACTGCAAGCCAAGTGAGATGGCACAAGTCTTTGCTCGACTTTCTACCATCCAACCAGACTACCTCTGCTCTGTTCGCCAATGGTTTAGTCATGCAACATGCAACACTGTGAAAGCTACCATTGCATAGTTCTCTTCCTAGCTCGGCTCTCCTCTCTGTTTGACTATTTTGCTTGGTAGCTTGGCCATAGCGTTAACTGCCACCAGGAAGTAACCAGTTCCTGTAGCTAGGTCCCGTGGCTAGGTCTCATAGCTAGGTCCCGTGGCTAGGTCTCATAGCTAGGTCTCGTGGCTAGGTCCCATAGCTAAGCCTCGTAGCTAGGTCTCATAGCTCAGTCTCGTAATTAGGTCCCGTAGCTAGGTCTCGTGGCTAAATCCCATAGCTAGATCCCGTAATTAGGTCCTATAGCTTGGTCCCGTAGCTAGGTCCAAAAATATGGGCATTTACTAGTTCGGTCAAACATCTTTGACCGCCACTCCAGCCTAGCTCGGTCCAATTTGGCTACACAAATTACCCTCTCGCATATTATTTAGAGTAAATTTAGAGGCTATATTTAAAAGAAAATTGTTGAAAAATCTACTTTAGTAATTGTCTAATACATTACGTCCAGTAAATATTTTTCATTGGTGAGAAGTCTACCATTTGTGAAATAGTTTGGTGGGAAATCTTTTTATTTGTTTTAAAGGACATTTTGTTTCTAATTGTATCCGTTAATTTATCTGTTATCTGTTCAAATTAACATCTACATGTTCAAATTATTTTTTATCTGTTTAAATTTATATCTATCTGTTCAAAAAATTTAACTGTTTGTTCAATTTTTTCCCCTTATCTTTTCAAAAAATTTATATCTGTTGAAATTTACCACCTAGTCTATTGAATTTTTTCACCTATTTATTCAATTTTTTTCTTATTTAAATTTTTATCTGTACAAATTTTCTGTCCAAATTTAAAATTCTATTTGTTGGAATTTTTTATCACCAATACTCAAATATAACACAGATATACATTATTTTTATCTGTTTCTTTATGAAAAAAAAAAAGACACAACAATATTCATGTGAGATTTGTAGATCAGAGACCAACCAATTATAGATTGAGAAGAGTATCAGATTGATGAAAATAAATAAATAAATCCACATGTCCATCCCTATCAATCTCCATATCATTTTTTGATTTTCTTCCAAGTGTATCAGATCTGTAATAGGTTGAACGTTCACAAATCTGCAGTGATGTCTCCTCCGGCTGTCAACCCCACTCACGTAGATCTGGAATCACGCTGGAACCCTATACTCGCCAACCAGAGTCATGATATGTTCCGACCACCGCGCAGACAGAAATCAAGTAGATATACAACACAGATCTAAAACACAACTATATAATAGACAAAAGAAACGACCTGAGTTTGAAGCATCCACTTCTTCTTCCTCTTCGATCCTACAGAGAGAAACGAGAAAACTAGAGAGAGAAAAATAATAAAATGGGTTGTGGGAACTCGTATATATATATATACACACACGAATTAACAACAACAACGAATCTTTAACTTCCCACCAATGATCAAGCGCACAGTCTGTTAATGTATATATTAGATTTAGATTTATATTAGATTTAGATTTATACTTATCTCCTTGTATTATAGATACGGTAGCTTATCTCTATCTCTCTCTACCTCTATCTCTTTCTATACTTATCTAGGTTTGTATTCAACCTATAACTACAAGCTCTCATATTGTATTCAATTTATTCAATATAATACAAATACACATTTTTTATATTTCTTTCAAC